ACTGGTGATTTCGTACTGCATATATATTTTTTTCTAGAAATACTGTATTATTTGTACCCTTTTACTGCATTGTATTTTTTATGCCCTTTTTTCTTCTCTCTTTAAATTAAAAAAAACAAACAAAAAAACATTGTGGGCATTGGGATTGCAGAGCCACTTAGCTCCAGGAATGTCAGCTGGGGATGAGGCTCAAAGTAAGAGGCTATGACTCCCCAGGACACAAAAGTTTACATACCAGAGACTGAAGCAACACCCTTCTGAAAACATTTAAAAGCTACCCTAGTTGAGCTATGCAGACTGATCCTTCTGCATATCATTCTTCCTGCATATTGCAAAGATGCTTTTCTCCCAACCTGGCTACCATCCCAAGTTACTCATGTATTTCCCACCATCCTCACTGTCACTCATGCTTTAACCATTCCCTTCTTCACAAGATATTAAAATCTAGGAGAAGTCTTGAATCAGGACCATTGTCGATGTATCCTCACTTGGATGAGAAATAGGACCCCTTGATTGCCTATAACTTTGAATATGTCTTAGTGTCATCATTCTCACCAGGGGTTACATTGGAGGGGGCAGCTGGAAATTAACTCACTAGAATTCCAGTAACATTTCTATGGGATTGCAAATATAACTTTCCGAATGATGAAGTAAATTGGAAAAAAGATTACAATATTTGGATTGCAAGGTACAGTATTTGGATCACAATGTATAATAGTGAGATTTCAATTGGGTAATTTGCTTAAATCTGGTGTTGGGAGTTCTATTCTCTGTGTGCATTTTCTAATTCCTGCTCAATTTTGTCTCTGTATCTACTGTGTCAGGAATAGGAAAATCAAAAATTTACATCTCTGTTCCAACTGTCTCAGAAACCCTAAATGTATTCTCACTGTATGTTAACAACTACAAGTACTTGGCTATTCATGAATATAGAACAATGTTCATGGAACCTAGATATCACTTTTTTCCCGTATACCAAAGAAGAATCTCCTCTAATCTCTTTAAGATAACAAAAAATTAAGCTATGTGAAGAACTCACACCTAATGCAGAGTTCTTCTGTGTCCATTCTATAATGTCAGTGAGGGATATTTTTAATCTACTTGCTGTCTGGGCACATGAAATAAGCTCACATTCAGTTTGAAGTTTTGATTGTCTTATGACAATAGGGTAGTGATATTTTTGCCTAATGGCTGAGGCTGAGTTTGAGAGTTCTATGGCCACCTGAGACCCTTACCCCTTGACATCTCTTGGAGGTCCTTACTCTCCAGGAGGAGAGTTGTCCTCTGTGGACCTAGAAGGCTTTGTGATGTCGACAAAACACTGTTTTTATCATGACATAGCACTGTGATTTAGTTTGTCTGAAATATTTAATAATAAAGTAACTGAAATTTAGCTTGGTCAAATATATTTGGGCTGTGGGTGTTCCCTCAGGTTTACTTTACTTCCTATTCAGTACCACTCGTGATTCTGAAAATTTACCAATTCTCATAGATTTTATTTGCTGCATAGAGATTGATAAAGGGCCTCTCATACTAAGCAAGTACCTAGGAAATCAACCAGAAGAAACAAAGAGAAAGATTATAGTAATTGCTTTACTAAGAAACAATTTTTATGTAGTGGTTCTTTGTAGAAATTCTGTAATGAACACCCTCAAGTACTACATGGCCACTCAGAAATTGTTCCCAATTTTTAGTGGTAAAAATTTTAAAACTTAAAATACTGCAACAATTATATTGTCAGTATCCATGTATCCACTACCTTATTTTTCTCTGAATTTCTACTATTGTTCAAAGTATTTTTCATTTTCTTTAAATTTGGTCATTTGATGGATGAGTATCTGTAGGTATTTAAGTTTTAATTTTCAATTTCCTGAAAACTAATGTGACTAAACATTTTTTTGCCTATATGTTGTTGAGATGATATTGAAAAGAACTAATAGTAGCTGTATCTTGTTATATATGAATAAAATGTCAGAAAAGTATATACTACCATTAATTTTTAAAACTGTTGTTTTCAAGATAATACTTATATTTACTCTGTTTTGTTACAGTAAACTTGAAAGGCTAATTTGTAATGAACTCACCTATTTACTGTTATACAGCCTTTGTTTTGTTATTGTTTTTGACACAAAGTCTCACTATATAGTGTAGATTGGCCTTGAACTCACTTATATAACTCAGGCTTGCCTCGAACTCTCAATGATCCTCCTGCCTCAGTCTCCTGAGTGCTGGGATTTTAGGTATATTCCACCATATCTGGCTGTGATAGAACTTTCAAACTCAGTATCATAACATTGTATCCTGGTTTTGATAAATTATCGATTTTTTCTATCATTGCAATAGAATATTAAATTAAATGTTTATCTCTTTATGTTTAACTTAATTGATATTATTTGGATCCATAATGAATGCAAAAACTAAAATCTATACAGATCTTATTAAACATGGAAAAACTACTGGTTTTCTCCTTATATCAGTTATGTTCAAATTAAATGAAAAGATATCAGAGATATAATCATAATTTTTCCTTAGTAAACTATATTATTTTCAGATTATGAAGTTTCTGGATTATGAAATAGTTTGAAGAGTTAAAGATGGTTATGGAAAAGTGGGAATTTTTAATAATGAGGTGCTTGACGATTGCTTTCTTATGTGAACTTTACTTTTTGGTACCAGGAATCGATCTCATGACCTCACACTTACCAGGCAAGTGCTTGAGCCACTGAGCTAAATCCCCAGGCCCTATGTGAGCCATTTAAACTGATTAAGTACACTTGTCTTCTAGATATGATATTCTATCCTCACCTTCTTTCAATCTGTGGCATATACTTTCAGTGGAGATATTCATCTCTTAGATTTCTGTTTGGAATTTTTTCATGGATTACGTTTCTTTTCTATGTTGGGTATACATGGTTTCCATCATTTTACTAAGTTCTATTTTTTTCTCTGTGTCTGCTGTAATAGCTTTCATTTTTATTGTCACTTTTTGTATCTGAGAGATTTTTTTTCTGTAGTCTTTTTCATTTGTTTTTTCTCGTTTCTTTCTATCATTTCAGACAGTTCTGGTGCTGTATGTCCATTAATAGATGAATAAATTAATATAGAATGTGGCATTTATACACAATGAAGTACTACTATGACACAAAAAGGATAAACTTAAGCAATAGATGCATGTTAAGATCATAATGTTAAGTAAAATAAAAAAGACATACAAGTTTAAATATCACATAACTTCTATCATATAAGAAATCCAAAATATACTTAGGGGAATGTTTTTCAAAATTGAAATACATATATCACTCCTCCCTATAATTTAAGGTATTTATTGGTAGAGTGTTTTACATCTATCACATTCTACTATTAAGAGGAATATATAATGAATTAGAAAAATTAATATTACTATTTTGTGTTATGCTATAGTATTCTTTAACCTGAAACATCAAAGTTTAACTTAGAAGTCATGTTTCCCCATAAAATAATTCATTACATTATATGCTCAGTAATTTATAAAATAAAAGGGCAAAAATTCTAACATAAAACCTTGAGAACTGGCAGGATTCTTGAAGATTAGTTGCATTTGTGGGAAATTCACCGTTCAGTGTTCACTAAGGACTATGGCAATGGTCCCTGGTGTATTTGAGTCCACATTTGAATCTCTAGAGTCTTCAGAGATGTATCCCCAAAGGCAAACAATAAAAAAGATAACAGAGCTGCTGTATAAGAAAAACTGTGAATTACTTATGGTAACATAAATGAATTTTTATTTTAAGAGCTAAGATTTTTTGGTTTTCATCAATGAATCTGGTGTATTGACTTCCCTTTAACATTTTAAGAAGACTTGATTTTTTGAAATTGTACCAATATTCACAAGTTGCTGCATAGAAATCAGCCCGTTATAATCAAGCAGTTAGCAGGTAATAACTTTAGCTCAATTATATAAGTTTCCACAGAGGAATTACTATGTATAGAAAGATGTAAATCGGCTTATTAGTATCCATATTTATCCAGCCATAACATGAGAATCCCACATGGAAGCAGTATCTAAACTTAGCGTGTGGCTACAATTCCAATAAATTAACTAGCTTTGTTTGCTGTTGTAAACATCTAGAAACACCAGCTGGGTTTACTGGTCTGAATGCTCTAGCATCAGAGGTATTAGAAACTTTGGATAAGGATTCGTGTAAAACCAAAAGTCTTGAGAGTTGAGAGTAAACCTGATCCCTACCTGGGTGAATTTTAGTAAATTTATTAAGTTTTCAGCTTGAAACTTTATGCAACTCCACAAAGAACAGTCTTACTTTAAGAAATGATTTGATGTGTTTGAATAAACATTCTTTAATTTCACTAAGAATATTTATATAATGCTTGAGTCACTATTTCAAACTACTTGTTAAAATAATGTTTCAACTGAGAATATTAAATTACTGAATAAATTTACAATGAATAACTTTATTCCTAGCCTTCCCTTTAAATTGATTTCTGGTTCATCCTTGTTCTACCAAGAAATTTATACTTCTTCTTTTTTAAAAAACTTATTTAATTGAGACATTGCAAGCCACATAATTAGGTACTGGCTTTTATATAATAGCTGTCCGAAAACTGAATGACTAGCCTAATATCTCCCCTTTTACAATTATATTCAGCTTGATTGTAATCTTCATTTAATTTAATTTAGAGATGAACAACAAAAGAAATGAGCTGAGTTAAACATGAAGCTAGTGTAAAAAGACTGAATTCCATATGAAAAGAATAGTATAGATGGTGTTTCTCCTAATATCAAAAATTTTAAATGTAGATACACAATATATAGACTTCAGAGTTCAAGAACATGAAATATAATTCTTACTCCAAATTTGGCTTGATTGATATATGTGTTTTATTATAATAACCTTCGCATATGTACTAATGAAAATGAAGTCATCATATTTAAAAACCTTTACATGTACTCTTTCCATCTCAGGTTTGGTTGGCAGCAACTATACGATCTTGTTAATTTGCTGATGGAGCTGAATCGTACTGCAGTAGCCGAGTTCATTTTGTTGGGTTTGACAGACGATCCAGTCCTCCAAGTCATCCTCTTCATGACCATCCTGTGCATCTACCTGGTGACTGTATCTGGTAATCTCAGCACAATCATTCTTGTCAGACTCTCTTCTCAGCTGCACCAGCCCATGTACCTTTTTCTAAGTCACTTGGCTTTTGCAGACATAGGCTATTCTTCTTCTGTCACACCCAATATGCTCGTAAACTTCCTAGTGGAAAAAAACACAGTCTCCTACCTTGGATGTGGTATCCAGCTTGGCTCAGGTGCATTTTTTGGGACAGTTGAGTGCTTCCTGCTGGCTGCTATGGCCTATGATCGCTTTGTAGCAATCTGCAACCCACTGCTCTACTCAACCAAAATGTCCACGCGAGTCTGCATCCAGTTACTTGTAGTGACTTATATAGGTAGTTTTATTGATGCTTCCTCCTTTACCTTTTCCTTCTTTTCTTTACTCTTTTGTGGACCAAATCGGGTCAATCACTTTTTCTGTGACTTTGCTCCTTTAGTTGAGCTCTCATGTTCTGATTTCAGCATCCCTGCCGTGATTCCCTCATTTTCAGCTGGGTCTATCATTTTGGTCACAATGTTTGTCATAGCAGTGTCCTACGTCTACATCCTCATCACCATCCTGAAGATGCGCTCCGCTGAGGGCCGCCACAAAGCTTTCTCCACCTGCACCTCCCACCTCACTGCAGTCACCCTGTTCTATGGGACCATTACCTTCATTTATGTGATGCCCAAGTCCACCTACTCCACCGACCAGAACAAGGTGGTGTCTGTGTTCTACTTGGTAGTGATTCCCATGTTGAATCCTCTCATCTATAGTCTCAGGAACAAGGAAATCAAGGAGGCTTTGAAGAAAGAGCTTGGTAGGAAAATATTTCCTTAGTGACATCTTTTTTTTGTAGGACTTTATATAATATGAATATTCCATAGATATAACCAGAAAGCAAATGGAATGGTGCTGGTTGCAATATGTCTGCTCTTTTTGACTACCCCATACAGAGAATTTTAGTAATTATAAAAGCTGGATATTTAGGCAAATATTAATCATACTCTGATAATGAGTTAACTTTAGTAATGGCAATCTATAATTAAGAAAAAATTCCTCTATATAAATTATCTTTAGCAATTTATTTTAAATTATATTTAGAGTTCGTGAACACCACCTTTATTTGCTATAAATTGAGATTATTATACTTCTATATCCTTAAGATATTGTCCATTTTCAATGACACATTGTCTTAAAATTTGCATGACAGACATAGTTATTGAACACCACTTGAGACTAAAGTAAAAAGTAATACAGACAGTGAAGTTAATGAAATGTTTTTCTTGTAGTAAAGTTACCTGTTAGGTATGAGTTTGTGGACTTACAAAATTGTCATCCATTTTTGACCTCTGATTCCAATCTTAGATATAAAGAGTCTACCAAAAAGAATAGGATGAGATTCCCCTCATTAACTGGTGAATTGTGCTATCAGAACAGAAAGCATGACTTCCTTTGTAGAAATGACTAGATTTCCTCAGTTACTCAAGGAATTAATGGAGCAAATTCCGGATCTGACTGACTTGTAGACAGACTGCCAGCACACTAAAGAAGTTTGGAAATGTTGGACTGTCTTTCCCCTGGGAAGTTTAAGATGCCTCTGTTTGCTGACAACTAGAACATTTATTTGTCTTCCCTAAATGATTTCTTCCTCAAAGTATCTCCTTCCAGTAAGAGGCAAAATCTTTAGTTTTATTGATTCAGAAGACAGAGAGTATTTTTTTCTCCTTGATTTGCATTTCTATAGTCACATAGACTAATGTATGCACGTATGTAGAGAAATAGATGGAAGTGAACATGTACATGTGTGTTAAGTGCGGATACACACATATCCTCTTGGTTCTGTTTCCTTGAAGAAAACAGACAAAAGTAAGCACTAACCAAACTTTGTCTTCTGTTTCCTTTCTAACTCATTCTCCATGCAACCATAGCCATACATTGAAAAGGATACTTTCTTCATTAATTCCTCCAAACACCTTAGAATAAGGGTAAAAATTTTTCAACATGTCTTGATCCTGAACATGGTCCTTGTTTAATTTTCTGTCTCTTGGGGTTTTTCTTCTTGGTCTCTGAAGATACAATTGTACTAATAAATAATTTAATCTACCGTCTCAGGAAAAAGGAGACTAAAGAGGTTTTGAAGAGAGAACTTGGTAGGAAAATATTTTCTCGGTGACATTTGTTGTTTTGTGTAACTTGTTATAATAAGAAGACCCCATAGATACAATAAGAAAAAGAATACTGAGTGTCTGTGTTTGAGTTATATGTGTTGATTATGATTAGTCACTGTAGATTACTTTCACAAATATAGGAGGTGAATTTTTAGGAAAAATAATAAATCACATATTCATAATAAATTTAATACAGATATTTTATAATTTAAAAAATTAGTTCACATAAATAACCTTGTAAAATTTAAGTTATATTAAGAATTTTTCAAAACTAGTTATCTGCTACAATTTGAGGTTTCTATACTTCCAAATCTTTAAAATAATATCCATTTTCAGTAACAATTTGTCTTGAAATCTGCATGATAATTATTGTCATCAGTTGAGTATGTTATGAGAGTAAAATGAAAAACTGTAACACGCAATCAAATTAATGGAGAAGTTTTCCTGTTGGGTATGGGCTTATGGATCATAAAGTTGTGGTATGTGCTCATGGCCTCTGATTCTAGTCTTGAATGTAGGAGGCACAGACAGAGTAAGATGAGGTTCTCCTAGCAACCTGCAATTTCCTCTTGTCAGATCTAAGGTGGTGGGTGACTTCTTTCTACGAAAGAGCAGAGTTCCTGAACTACTCAGGGATGGAATGGGCAAATTTCAGACTAACATCATGCTAAGAAGCTCAGGAAAGTTAGACTTTCTTACCTCTGAGTATCTTAATTTATTTTTATTTGCTGACTAGATCACTCCTCAAACTGTTTCTCTCCAGAGAGAGGCACTATCATTCATTATACTGTTTGAAAAACATAAGAATATTTCTTTCTCTTCTCCTTCTGCTCTCCTATATTCAATCACTGACTCATTGTTTCTGAACCCAGTATTTGTGTGCTACTTCTCCCATCTTCCCTGTTAGCACTTTTCCGTCAGGCTGTTCCTTCTTATATTTAGTTCAAGTGCTACCCGTGTTGGTTAATTTCATGTGTCAACACGACTAGGCATTAATACTGCACTATTTGACCCAGCCTCTGTCCAGATGTTGCTTTGATAGCATTTTAAAAATACTAATCAATATTTAAATTAATAGACATTGAATGACGCAGATTATTTTCCAAAATGTAGATAGGTCTAAACCAATTAACTGAAAGCCTTAAAAGATTCATGTCCTTTGAAGAGGAATAAACTCTGTCTGAAGACCAGTTTTAAACTCTAAACTGTATCAACTCTTGCCAGTATTTTCAATCTGTTCACATGCTCTGTGGATGTTGGACTTTTCTCCCACAATTATTGTGTGAGACATGTCCTTCAAAAATCTATTTCTATTGGATAGATGATAGATAAATAGATGCTGGATAGAGAGATAGATAGACAAACAGACAGACAGATGAACAGGAAATATTTTAATGTATTTAGAGAGGTAAATGGAAGTGATTGTGTATATTCTACATACATACATATATTCTATTTGTTCTGTTTCCTGAAGTGAGACAGACAAACACACCCTATAATCACATTTATTCTTCTATTTTTTCTCCATTTAGTTCTCTATGTGACACCCATGGCCATAATTCTAAATAGATGTTTCCTTCATTAAATCCTCCAAACTTCTTAGAATACTTTTGTCATGTCTTAGAAGGTTTTGAAGGTGGCCTTTGTTTTCTCTCTACTCATGATTTCTTCTTCATTCCCTCAGGATACACACTGTAGGAATAAATCCTTTCATCTTATTTTAAATCCTTAGCCATATCCACATTCTTTGCTGCCTCAAGACCCTCTTAAATTATCTCTTCCTGCCATGCACTTCTCTGTTCACCTGGGCAACCTCATTTATGCAGGTTCCAACCTATGTGTTGTGTGACTACTAAAAAGCCTTCTTGAAGCTCCAGTTGAAACTAAATGAAGCTACGTGAAGTTCATGGAAGCTGCATATAGGCAGCCAAATAACTTAAAGTTTTCCTACTCTTTAATTTTTACAATTCTGGAATAAAGTAAGCTTTAATACTTATTTGACGTGAGTCAATGAAATAAATTTAATATGTAATGGATGGTTGAATGAAATTTTTGCTCTTGCTTATTGATTCTGTTGGCTTTGAATTCTTACTTTCAGGAATACAATAGACACACAAGGATAAATGGGATCAAGCTCACAAATACCTTTCTAACAGTTTTATTTCTAACAGGAATACAGTGTGGAGGGGTGGAGCCATGCTATTAAGAAAAGTTCATCCTTTATCATGAAAAATCATATATAGATTTAATTCAATTCCAATCTAATACCATCGACATTTTTCTCAATGGAGAAAACTGAAAGTGTTCCTCCTAACATTAGAGATGATATGAAACTGTTTACTCTTATGACTTCTGTTCAATATATTACTTAAAATTTTATCTAGAGCATTAGAGCAGGTAAAAGAAATTAAATACTAATAGGAAAGGAAGAAGTTAGGCTATGATTATTTTCAGATGATTCTATCCTTCACTGAAAAAATCTTAAACATTTTAGTAGAACACTTTTAGATATGACTAAGTGGCAAAATAGAATGTCAACATATAAAAATCAATAAATATTCTATACACCAGTAATAAAACTATTAAGAAAGAAATTTGGAAAATATTAGTTTTCAAGATATGAGTTTAATGCATGATATAATACATACAATATAATACAATAAGGAATTTTTTCTTTTTAAAAATATAGTGGCAATGCAAAATGTAAAAATGAAATTAAGGAAAAATATGCTGTAAAATAAAAAACTAGAAAACCGAGGAGTAAATTTAGTATAAGTACCCAAAGCATATACACTGAAAATATTGATGTATCTTTATAAAATGGAAAGAATGCCTAAGTAAATGGAAAAATACCCACTGAATATAAATCAGAAGACTTAGCATTTTACAATGGCAACACATACTAAACTGATGAATATTCAACACAGTATGTATCAGTGTTCCAGTTATTTTCCTTATAGAAGTGAACTGATTGCTTTTAAATTCATAAAGAATTGCAAGAAATCCAGAATATTTACAATATTTTGCAATTGCAAGAGAAGTTAAATTTTGAAGGACTTTTAATTTTCATTTTCAAAGCTTACTGCAAAGCAATAGTTCAGGAATGTTTTGGCCATGGACAGACATGGAAACCAATGAGCAAGAACTGACAGTCAGTAATTTAACGCATATTTTAATTTAACCCAAGTAAACATTTATTTATTTTTATTTAAAGAACAAAACAAAACAGAAAAAAGGGTAGAAATAAAACAGAATTTCAAAAAAATTAACACTAAGAAATCACTAGTTAATAAATTACATATTGTCATCTTAGAAGTAGTTTTTCAAGTTACAAACTCAAAGCACAAAAAGTGGACAATCAAACAATGACAGTGCAAACCGTTCTGTTCAATGATCCAACAAAAAGTAATATGGCTATCTATCTTACACACTTAAACAAACATATAGTTATGTCCTTTAGAGCACTTCCCTTCCCTTCCTGTTTTACAATATCATACGTCTTGGATCTTATTACTCCCACATTTTTTATTACATTTTACACTAGAGAAGCAATGTGATATTTACCAATATGAGTCTTATTTATTTCACTTATGAGGATAGTCATATGTTGCCTCCATTTACCTATAAAGCCTCAAGATTATCCTTTTGTATAAAAATATCACATCTTTTTCATCCACTCTGCAGTTAATGGGCATTTGGTTATTTCCAAGATTTAACTATTACAAATTGTGCTACTATAAACACATAGATCACTGTGATATGATCTTTTTAATTTTTCTGGGAAAATGCCCAGGAGGGCACTAGCTGGATTGAATGGAACTTCCAATCCTAGCTTGTTGAAGAATCTCCATACTGATTTCCACACCAGCTGCTCCAGTCTATACTGCCATATGGTCCTAATATTTAATAAAAGATGCTGAAACCAATGTACTGGTTCAAGTCAATATACACATGAAAACAAATGAAGTTGGACACTTAACTTCTCCTCAAAATAGGGTAAAGTTCTAAATATAAAATTTAAAACACAGAGCTTGGAAAAGGTGATCTTTGTACATTATTTTTCTTTTTCGTATTTATTTTCTCTCCTTCCTTGGCTCCTTTCCTTATTCCCTCTTTCCTTCTTTCCTCCCTCATTTCCTCTTTCATCTTTTCTTATTTCCTTCCTCTTCATTGCAGTCTGTCCTTCTTTCCTATCTTGCTAGTCTGAGGCATCAGCGCACGGTGAGCATAAGGAAATGTGAGCACTCTCTTCCATGAAAAGAGAGTCTGCATACAGGAAAAAGCCTTTGAAAGACAGCTTCACTGCCCATGAAGATGTGAATTGTGATTACTATGTCATTCAAGAGAAAACACAAAATCTGATTTTGAGCATGAAAATATTTAACAGTGGTTATTTCTGGACTCTAACACTTGAATATAAATTATCTACCCAGAAAACCAATATAATTTTTCCATTTCAGTTACTGTTTGGGGAAGTCTCCAGGAAAGTCTTCCATCTCCAATGCTGATCTCCAGTGTATCCCAGTGATTCCGACCCTTGTTCTTGGAGACCACCTGTCATCTTCACACTGTTTCAGAAGTAAAATTTACAGTTTTCTTCAAGGTAAATCTTGGACTTCAGTATTTTGGACATGGTAAAGAATAGAATAATATTTCTAATATTACAGAAATTTAGGGGTATAAATTATAAAGAATGGTTGTCTACACTTATATTCTGTTCATTTTTTTAATTGATTTTAAGACATGTTTCCAAAATTTACTGCAAATTTGCACAATGGTATAATAAATGAAACTTTTATTTCAATGTCAAATATATTTTAATTACATGAATGATATTTTCCTCCCAAATCAGTATGAAATGCTTTCATATATAAAATAGGTAAGGAAAACAAGAGTGTTACAAGGAGACTCATTTCCCCATGGCTTTGATTACTTAGAATGTTGAGAACTAGATCATGCTGCAGATACCACAAAAAAACACCTTGGATTTCAAAATTAAGCATTA